ACATGGATCTGTAATTGGCTAACAAACCATATTCAATGAGTAATCCTCAATGACACTACATCCACATGGAGAGAAGTAAGCAATGGGGTACATCCACATGGAGAGATGTAAGCAATGGGGTACCACAAGGTTCCTTCTTAGGCTCAGTACTCTTCAATATCTTCATCAATGACTTAGATGAGAGAATAGAAGGGGAACTCATCAAATTTGCAGATGGCACCAAACTAGCAGGAGTACCCAACACTCCAGAAGACAAACACAGGATCCAAAAAGATCTTGATCAACTTGAACAATGGGCCCTATCCAACAAAATGAGTTTCAATGTGGAGAAAAGCAAAGTCTTACATTTAAGCAGGAAAAACCAAAGGCACAAATACAGATTGGGCGAGACCTGGCTCAAAAACAGTAACTGTGAGAGGGACCTTGGAATCCTAGTGGATGATCACTTGACTATGAGCCAGCAGTATGCAGCAGCAACCAAAAAAGTGAACAAAATCCTGGGTTTTATAAACAGAGGCATAGAATCAAGATCACGAGAAGTACTATTACCGCTTTATAAAGCCCTAGTAAGACCACACCTAGAATACTGCAGCCAAATTTGGTTACCATACCACAAAAAAGATATTGAGAGTTTAGAAAAAAATCAAAGAAGAGCAATTAAGATGATCAGAAGCATGGAGACTAAAACACATGAAGAATGGCTACAGGATTTGGGTATGGCTAGTCTAAGGAAAAAAAGAAATAGGGGAGGCATGATAGCAGTGTTCCAGTATCTAAGGGGCTGCCACAAGGCAGAGGGGGCCAGGTTGTTCACTAAAGCACCAGATGGAAGAACCAGAAACAATGGTTGGAAAATGACCAAAGAGAGAAGCAACCTGGAACTAAGGAGAAATTTCCTAACAGTGAGGACAATCAACCAGTGGAACAGCTTGCCCTGAGAAATTGTGGACACTCCATCACTGGATATTTTTAAGAAGAGACTGGACATTCACTTGTCTGAGATGTTATAGGTTCTCCTGCTTGAGCAGAGGGCTGGACTAGAAGACTTCCAAGGTCCCTTTCAACTATTCTATTCTATTCTATTCTATTCTATTCTATTCTATTCTATTCTATTCTATTCTATTCTATTCTATTCTATTCTATTCTATATAAAAAATAAATTGTTAAAAAAGACAAAAGAGCCAGTTTGGTGTAGCAGTTATGGCATCAGGCCAAAACTGGGAGATGTTAATTTTAATCTCATTAGGTACCTGTGACTTGGAACAGCTGGGTGACCTTGGATCAGTCACGTTCTCTCAGCTTTAGGAAGGAAGTAATGGCAAATCGCTCTGAAAATGTTGCCAAGAAAACTGCAGGGGTTTGTCCAACCAGTCACCAGGAGTCAAATCTGACTCAAAGGCACTTAAAAAAAATGGCTTTCTCCATCTTGCAATGCAGAAAACTACTATATTTTTAAATTGAAGTTTTATTGGATTTTAGTACTGTACATAACAAATGAATTTCCAGCATTCATTTCCAAGCCTATCATTCTAAGACTATAAAACAATTATAAATGCAGATATTTTTCTCTTTCAGAAAAGAAAATAATCAGAGTGTTGGAACTTCGTTTTAAATCCTACAAGTTAAATAAAACATCTGTCAGCTGGTAACCAGTTTAATTTGTCAGAAGCAAAATTTGCACCAGTTATGCAGTCCTTAAAGATGATATAATATCTCTATAATATAAATAATTTTGCAATAAACTATATCTCTCCATAAAATTCACATTATGAAAGTCAGTGTACAAGCAGTACCTGTCTCAATGTTACAGAAATAATATATATGAAGAGAACTCAGAACCACATTTATCTTCATTCTAAAAAAGTCTCTAAAGTTAAGAATGCAGGTTGATGTTTAAAACAGCAACTACTGTAGCACTTCATCTGGAAGAAATTGTGCTGTTTCTTTAAGTAGAGTTATGATGAAGAAACACAAAGAAAGGTTATTAAAAGAATTTATTTTCATTACAGGAAATAATTGCTATTGTTATTACTTTATTCTCGTCAGATTGTGCAAATTTAAAACTTTTTCCATGTATAATTCAAATGGTGTATTTTACTTGGGTGGTTCCCTTGCACATTGAAATTGTACTGACTTTCCTTTGGGGGTGGGGAATCCATTTCCATGTTATTAAAAACTAGTCTTCAGAACCTTTGATCTACTTTATGTGCAGTGTATTTCATTGACAAATGCAAAAGACATTTAGTTGTATAGGAATTTGGTGCAAGCGGTGTTATGGCCTAGAGGAGGAGCTCTCGCCTCACAATCAGAAGGCTGCGAGTTCGATCCTAGGTAGCAGCAGATATTTCTCTCTCAGAGTGCAAAGGGAAAATATCTGCTGTGATCTCCACATAGGCGTCAGGAAGTGTATCAGGCCAGTGAATGCTCAGTTCCAATCAGTCACCCGACTCCATCTTGATGCAAGGTATTAAAAAAAAAAGAGTTTGGTGACTATACTTGCAGAACATATATCTTTAGGCTAAATGTAACCCCATCAATTTTCAAAAATGCAGAAAATGTCAGCATTTTTATTTTTTATCTAATTCATCAGTAGGTCATCATACTAGTCCTCAGGGGAAAGCCTTGTAAGAGGACTGTACAGTTGCAAAACCTTTCTAGTATTTGTAGTGTTTGAATTTACAGATTTACATTATTGTATTTGGAAACAGCTATGATTTAAAGAAAAGGTGACATATAGCTGACATATCTAGATAGCATCAGTTGAAGAATGCTGGACTAAAGCGATAATATAAAAAGGCAATAATTTTAGATAAATGAACACAACTACAGTTCTATCTGGGAAGTTATTAAAAAGCATTTCTTTGCATTTACATTCAGAAAACAATTTGCATTGTTTGAGAAATCTTACATATGAAGAGTCTAATATAAGAAAAAAATTGCTTTTTAAATTCCACATGGACTCAATAATTTCTAAAATTTAAATTTACCCAGCTATTGATCCTACACGATTCATTAGTGGACAGTTTAGAAAAGGATTATATTAAGATTTCTAACCTCCATTTGATAAAATTAGAATTTGGCATGTTATAAGTATGTTAATACTATAGTTCACTATAAAGATAGTCAGTAAAGTAGATATTGTGAAGGTGAAATCACTACAAATTGCAAATAGAAAATAGGACGATAAACCTAAAAATGTGAGATAATAATGGGACAAATTTACTCATAATTCAAGGAACTCAAGTGGAATAACATTGATAAATATGCTCCATTGAATTATATCACTGGTGCAGCAGAAGAAAATTGGTGTGAAAGAGTCTTTATTGCAGTTCAGTTTCAGTGTGTTTGGAGGGAATAATTTTTTGAGTGCAACTATTCTTTGAAGGTTGTTTGTATCACTCTATGTCCCTAATGAAGAGGCATCCCTTGGAAACATGTTGGGATTTCATGATAAAGTAAAGTTCATACCAAATTTCCTTAATTAATTAATTACATTTATATGCCATCTGATTCCCAATGAATTTTCTTGCTTAGTTTATTTCCTTTAGTTCATTTCCACTGATATTGTAATTTACAATGTATGTGCACTTGCTATCTGTGCAAAAGAATAAATTCACAAAGAGACTGAATAATAAATTTGGAAGAAGATTCTGTAGCATTTTCATCTTCTAAGATTTCAATAGCCTAGGACAGGGCTTTTCAACCTTTTCACTGATTGTACCACTTTTAGGATATGGCAATATCCGAGTACTACCAATCGCCTAGCAAGATGTCAAAAAGTTGATGACCCCCCCCCCAAAAAAGGAAAAAAGTGATAAAATATAGATAGTCCTTGACTTACAACAGTTCGCTTAGTGACTGTTTGAAGTTACAACAGAACAGAAAAAAGTGACTTATAACCATTTTTCACACTTATGACCATTGCAGTATCCCCAGGGTCATGTGATTTACATTTGGATGCTTGGCAACTGATTCATATTTATGATGGTCACAATGTCCTAGGGTCATGTGATCTCCTTTTGCAATCTTTTGACAAGCAAAGTCAATGGGGAAACCAGATTCACTTAACAACAGTGTTACTGATTTAACAACTGCAGTGATTCACTTAACAAATGTGGCAAGAAAAGTTGTAAAATGGGACAAAACTCATTTAACAAATTTCTTACCTCTTCTCCTTTTATATCCTCTCCTCTCCCCCTCCTCCTTTTATATCCTCTCCTCTCCCCCCTCCTCCTTTTATATCAGGGGTGTCAAACTTGATTTCATTGAGGGCCGCATCTGCACTGTGGTTACTGTTGGGGGTAAGGGTGGGGTGTGTGTGGCCAGCTCAACATTGCTCAGGTCAGGGGGCACCTGTGGCTGCCTGTGGGGGGATCTGGGGGTCTCCAGTGGAGGGAGGTGGGGTGGGTGCAGGGCATGGTCCACCGGAGGAGCCTCGCTGCCCCTCTTGGCCCATGTGGGGGACTCCCAGACAGTGGTGTGGGCTGCCCAGAGCCCTGGGCAGTGAAGGGCAAGTGCCCAGCCCAGCCCATGAGCTTCTGGGGCACTAGCCCAACCCAGTCCAGCTCCACTTCCCTGAGGGGGCATCTAGCTATGCTTACCTCCTCTTTGTGGCTGCTGCTGCTGCTGTGCTCACTCTCCTTGGCCAGGTTGCTCATGATGGGTGCAGGAGGGCAAAGTGCATGGATCAGAGGGAGGCCCACTCCCTCTCCATGCAAGGAGACCCAGATTTGTAATCAAATCATCCTTAGTGATAGGATGGGAGACCACCAGGATAGGCCAGGAGGAGGGGGCAAGGGGATGGCGAAAGGGCAGAAGGGCTGCTGTTGGCCAAGTGCTAAGGCAGGACTTCCCTCAAACCCTCCCTTCCTCTCATTCCAATTTCCTTCCTTCCTCCCTCCCTCCCTACCCTCCTTCCTTTCCTGCCTCCCTCCTTCTCATTCCCATCTTCTTCATTCTCTTCCTTCCTGTTTCCCTCCCTCCCTCCTTCTCTGTCTCCCTCTTTCTCTTTCTCTTTCCCATCTCCTTCTCTTGTCTTCTCTTGTCTTGGAAAACAGATTATGAAGAGGATATGTGGTGTCCCAGATAATCTTACGGATCCTGCTCAAGCAATGTTTCTGTGCTGTGTCCTGGATGGGAGGGAGGGATCTGCCAATTATTTTTTCGGCCTTCTTCACCACTGACTTGTCAGCTCTGAAACATACAAACACAGACACAGAGTTCATTACTTAATAAAATTACCAGTCAGAATGTATGTGTAATGTATTGTCCGCTTGTCAACACGGTAATTATGATATTGTTATGCACTTCATGCTAATCTGACATCCTAGAGGAAAATACAGTTGGCATTTCCTAATGTTCTGTATAGAACAATATATAATTCAGAATATATAATATCATATAATTATATATTATTATACATAATAATATATAACAATATATAATTCAAAATAATACCGGCTCATTTCCTCTTTTTATTTTCATCCACGTAGGCATTCGCCTTCCTTAAATAGATGTGGAAATAATCTTATAACTATATGATTAATTAAGCAAAACATAGAGACAACAGGTTATTTTCCATGAGATAATTAAATTTCTGAAGCATAAAGCAGGCACTTTCAATTCCCAAAGGTGTGATTGTTAAATGATAGAACATATTCTCCCCCGCATCTCCTCATTACTATTGTAGACATTTATTTTAGTATATATTAATGTTAGTACACTTTAATGCTTTTAAAAGATGCAGCAGATTTTTCAGTTTATTAAATAACCCTTTGAATAGACTGTATTCACAGTGGGTGAAAAATTAACCAATGACACATCCCTTGTCCTGTTCTGAAGTGACATGAGGAGCTGAGAAAAAGCTTCCTTTCTTCCCTACAGTATTCAGCTGTCTGGAAGGCTTCATGTTACTGTCATTTTCAGATGTCACCTTTGCTTAACTTCCAAGCATAGATGCTTGCCTTGATCTTAGCATTTGACAAAACAGTTAGCAGCTGGCTTCCAAGTGAACATATGCAGGATCAAAAGCAAAAGAAATCTAAAGAAATCTAAAGATTAAAGTTAATCATTGTCCACACACAATCTAATTGGTTAAGGTAAAATTAAACAGCAAGAACTACTACTGAAGTAGTGCAAAGTTTGACAATATGGAATAATGTAGGTTAAACTTCACTTGATCTTTTATCAAATGAAATAAGACAAATTAAAATTAAAGGACAGCTAAAGAAATAAAAAAATGAATGTAATCTAACAATACAAACAAGAGTGATATTTACTGGAAAATTGCTGAATCCTTCTGAAGGAATCTTATCTTTTTTTTTTTGTAATCAGTTTTATTACTTCTGGCATCTACTAGTTCAACTTTTAGTAGTTTAATAATCTGCCAGATTTTGTTCTTATCCTGTTCCTTTTCCATTCAGAGGAAAGTATCTCCAGTTATTATAAAAATGCTGGTCTGGAGGGCGGGATAATGGCATTGATGACAACCAATCCTGTGACCTTTTGTGTCTATAATGGATCTCCATTGTGTTATTCTCTTGGAACACCATAACAGCTCTGGACCACAACACATCACAGAAAAATATGCTAGAAGAAAGTATTAAGTTTGTTCTTTGCCATTTATAAATAATAGCAGTTGTAGAGTGTTATTAATTTTATTTTTCTTCTATATGTTAACTTTAGAAATTTAGGTTACTTCAGCCCTAAAAGCTCTGTCATGCTCAAGTTAACCAAATAACCAGAGAAAATAGTACATTTGGAATCCTTTATTTTTCCATTAAATTACATACAAAATTAGGGCAAGTCATTTAAAACAGAATTTTAATTTTTTAAAAATATTCTACAAATATTTGTCATCTTACATGTAGCTGAGATCATTTGAGAAGTTGCTCTAGATATGATTTCATTTGATATAAAATGGGAAATTGTATAGTATTTAACTTAACAAGAAATTAGTACATATAATTATAAAGAACTAGAAATTATAAAGAACTGGAAATTAGTGGCATTGATCATTCAAATCCATTGAGATTTTAAATATGAAAGACCCCATTAATGTTGTTAGTTGCGAAGTCGTGTCTGATCCATCGTGACTCCATGTTCCTCCAGGACTTCTTCTCCTCTACCATCTTCTGCAGTCCAATTTATATTACAAGAATAAAAATGTTTGAATTCTGGAGAATTTAGTAGAAGTGTTCTACCTTTATGTTAGGGCTATAAATCCTTAACTAATAAACCGTTAACATTTCCTTGTCCTTTATAGGATGCTTAACTGTTGCAGAAAAAATGGAATAATATAAAGTAGTTTTAAACAATTTGAATTCTTTTGTATTTTGAACAAACCCATCCAATATTCAAATTGCTGCTATGGTATATTATATTTAAGTTATTTGGAAAAGAAATATTGATTGCTAGAGAGTGAAAGTTGAAGGCCTATCACCCATCAATCCATACATATATCCAACTTGTGAATGTATGATACAGAATACTTGACTTTTATTCTTAACCTCTTCAATGCCTTTTCTGCAGTTTCCACAACCAAGTATCCATAATGATTATAGACTGATGAATTGGCAGCATAGCCTCAGAGAAACAAGTATTTAGGCAAGGTTTCTTTAAACCTTCTATAAGCTCCCTTAAAAATTGAGAATACAAACTTGCTAATTGCTCATTCCTCCATTTCTACAATGCTTTCAATATTCCATGGTTATCTAATCAACCATTTCCTCAAGCAGCAATTAAATTAAAACCAATAGAAACCAAATATAACACAGGACATAGAATAATAGGGCTGTAAGGACGTTGGAGAGCTTCTAGCCCAACCCTCTACTCAAACAGGACATCCTGTACCATTCCAGACAAATAGCTGTCCAGTTTTTCCTAAAAAAAACACCCAGTGACAGAGCACCTAGAACTTTTGGAGGTAACTTATTCCACCATTTACTTATTCTCACTGTCAGGAAATTTCTCCTTAGTTCAAGGTTGGATGTCTCTTTAATGATCTTCCACCAATTACTTCTTGTCCTGCCATCAGGTGCAGAATAATTCTGATGCCCCTTGATAAATTCACATAGGATTTCCCCCTGCTCCAGGCTACCATGACAACATGAGAACATTTCTCCAGACTTGGTAGGAGGATTGATGGGTAAATGGTAATAGTAGGTAATATGATCAACCGCAAAACAAATAATTATAAACACTGGATGGAATATTAGGAAAGTGAATTCCATCCAAGCATGATATAAAAATGGATTGTTTTAGACAAAAGAAAAGCTAGAAGTAATTTTAAAGGTATCCTAGTAACGACAAGTGAACTCTAAGAATCTATCCCTGACTTCAGTTATCGGCTCAGACTCCAGTAATACCTAACTCTAATTCAGGAGTGTCAAACTGCTGACCTGCAGGCCGGATGCTTCACGTGGAAGCTCTGCAATGCATTGCTGGCAATGGCAAAACTGGCCCAATACGTTGTGCGATGTCACATGACGTTGCGAGTTTGACATGTCTGCTCTTATCTAACCCTAATCCTAACCCTAACTTAATCCTAACTTAGAGTGAAAAGCTGTCACTGTCATATCCCTGACATCAGTTTTTGGTCCTGACTCTAAGGAGTCCTAACCCTAACCTTAATCCTAATCCTAGTTTCTTTGGCAATGGGATTTTCCCATGTATTTTACTGTGGTTCATAAAGAAGTCTGAACGAAAAGAAGTTACTATCACTTTCCTTAGATCAGAGGTCTCCAACTTTTGTGCGCACACAAACGGGGCCACAAGCATGTACTATGCAAATGGGGTGGTGCTAGCACCCATGTGACACTCACTAGCACTGCGCCAGTTTTGCCACATGGGCACTAGCATCGCCCCGTTTTCGTGCTGTGCAGCACCCGATTTTTACGCTGTGTGCCACCCAGTTTTTGCGCCACACGCCACCCAATTTGCCCATTTTCACACTGCACACTGCCTGGTTTTTGCAATGCACACAACCCAGTTTCCTCCCATTTTTGTGCCTCATGCTGCCCAGTTTTCCCGTTTTTGTGCCATCCGCTGCCTGGTTTTCTCCCATTTTCACACCATGTGCTGCTCAGTTTTCATGCCATGTGCTACTCTGTTTGCATAGTGACAGCACCCTGTTTTTGCCACTGCAGTGCCCCATTTGGATAACCCGAGTGGGGGTAAGTGCGCACACACATATGCACGCACTGGCCAGCCTGTTCCGTGGATCAGTGGCCAGTAGGCCACGGACTGGTAGTGGGCTGCGGACCACAAGTTGGGGACCCCTGCCTTAGATAATCTCAAATAATGTAGCCATGATGTTAATTTTTGGGTCTGTCTTCAAGTAGACCTAACCTTAACCCTAACTATCTGTAACCCTAATTTTCTTTAATTTTCCTAATTTAATTTCTTTGGCAATCTATGTATTTTACTAAGCCTCACCCTCACCCTCACCCTCACCCAAACCTAAACCTAAACCTAAACCTAAACCTAAACTTAAACCTAAACCTAAACCTAATACAAACTATAATCCTAACCCTAACCCTCATTTCATTTTGAAGTGGTCCACAAAGAAGTCCAAATGAAGAGCTGCCACCATTGCTCTTCTTAGATAACCTGTAAGAATTTATCTCTTACAACAGTTTTTGGCCCTGACTCCAAGGAGACATAACCCTAACCCTAACATGAACTGTAGTTTTATTTTCTATGGAAATGGGATTTTCCCATGTATTTTACTACAGTCTACAAAGAAGTCTGAACGAAAAACTAACACATTCATTTTACCTTGACAACCACTAAGAATTTTTCTCTGACCCCAGTTTTCAGCCCTGATTCCAAGGAGACCTAAACCTAAACCTAACACGAATGCTAGTTTTATTTTCTATGGAAATGGTTTTACTGTGGTCCAAATGAAAAACTCTCAGCATTACTTTCATTATAGAACCTCTAAGAATTTATCCCAGACACCAGTTTTTGGTTCCGACTCCAAGGACACCTAACGCTAACCCTAACCCTAACTCCAGTTTCATCTTGATTGGCAATGGGATTTTTCTATGTGTTTTACTGTGGTCCTCAAAGAAGTCCAGACAAAAATGTTACCATCGCTTTCCTTAACTTTTAGAATTTATGTCTTACATCAGTTTTCAACCACAACTCCCTTTCCTGGATTTTCAATTAACTGTATTTGTTGGTCAATTGAG